CAGATCCCATAGGTTTTACACTGCTGAAAGGAAAGAAGGTTACCGGGAAAAGGTGAGAATAATCGTGGGGAGGGGGGTTCAGATTTACTGCTGCAGATCCGAAATACAACCTGCTCTCCAGGACTGTATGTTGCTTCTTCCAAGTTGTTTTGTAATCTTGGCGGATCAGATTTCTTGGTGGGAATCGGTTGAACTGGCCGTTTCCGTGGCAGAGTACCCTGGGTTATTTTATTATTTTTTGCCATGGTTGGACCAGTCTTCTTCGTGCCTCTAGGGATACAGAAGAAGGGGTATTTCGAAACACCCACTTTTGTACCAGATTTCAATGAGTTCAGCACAAGCAGCTGAGCGCTGGTGTAGCACTCGAGGTGGTGGGAGAGGTCCCTGCAGACGAACTGATGTCTGACTTTTGCCTCTTTACATAACCCTTCAGCCGACCGAATATGCGACACCGTTCCCAACAGTTAATCTTATCGCGTTCCTCCATTGCGCTGCTTTGAACGATTTGTTGCTGTGGAAATCTTCTTTCAACAGTTAAAGTTATTCTGCGTGTATCAAACCACTAGTAACCGAAGCCACTGTACCGGGAACGTGCTCTGTTAATACTCGTATCCTAGGGAATAGCTTCCGATCTGATTTCACTATTCCGTCTTTCAGGTGTCATGTCACAGTATGTTTCTTGGAGAATTTTCACAATGTAACGTGGGTCGCCAGAGTGTTGCTAAGCAACGGCTCGGTAAACAAACCTCAACAATACAGAGACTGTTTTCTATGGATTCTGCGCAGCGACCGTTTCTATGCAAGGGTTCGGTAAACACGTTTCAACAATACAGGCTGTGCTTCCTGTGGGGTTTGTGCAAAGAGGTTATCTTAAAAACAAACGGCGCTACAGTTCTGAGTTCTCGGTAGGAGACAGCCACGGAGAGTTTGTTGACCTGTGAAGACTTGACGTGTCATCTGAAGACTTTATGTGTGCCATAGTACAGTGGTATTGGGAGTGTGTGATTTAGGGAGACTTTCATATTTCCTGTGTTATACATCCGTGAAGACTAGTGGAAAGAGACTGAAGAGATCAGTGTGGAGTGATCGTAAATTGTGTAAATCAGCAAGAGCGCAATATTTATTTGTAGTTACGACACGTAGGTTGTTAATAAATTCAATTACCAATCCAAACCCGCGGCCTAGTCACCTAAAACTGGTGACAATATTAAGTCCAGGCTCTGCTAATGTTTTTTCTAATTGTTATTCTCAAGGTTTTTCTCAATGGTGCTAAAGTTGACAAGTTGTTGACAGTTTGGTGTTCTGCCTTCCAGAATGCATTTCTCTCAGAGAAGAAAACTTGCCATTTCCAAGTAACATCTGATTCGTTATTTTTGCAAGAATCTTACAGTCGCATGTTGCATTCTGTGTTCCATTAGTGTTTATATTCTTTGAATTTACTAATCCTTTCTTGTTTTTTTTTTCTAAATACACGTAACATGTGTGTGAAACCACAGATTACTTCAGCAACCTCATCAACAAAAGAATATTTAGAAATTACTCTAAATAATCTTGGTCCATCGAATGCTAAATTATGTACAGCAATGCACTACTTTTAAATAATCCCAGCCACTCAATAAAGCTTACCAATGCTAATCTTACAGGGACAGCTTTTACACCATGGTACACAAGATCGTTACAGTTCACCAAACCATTAGCTGCACTAGCTCTCACGGATACTTGTCGACTGGGATTGACATAAGTTGAAAATGTACTTCTCCCACATTTCGCAGCAATTTACAAAGTATCACCATTGGCTTCAAAGCCAGAGGTTTCAAGATCAGGTAAAACAATAGTAATTTCACCAACATCCTCTTCCAAAATTGACTCATCATTGTCTTCATCAATGGGTACTGCTACTTCAGTAAAAAGGGTAGAATTACTTTTGTAGGTATAACTTTGATATTTCCTTTTTGATGACGTGAACCTGTTTGACGTGTTTTTAACTCCAGGCGTCTCATTTTAACTGCCTTTTACAAAGACCGTTTTGGGTCCTTGAAATATGACATAAGTGGTGTTCTCCAGGGGACAGGTTGATAGCTTTGGCTATGTCTTGGGTGTATCCTTCAGAGATTTTTTTTTTTTTGTTCAACAGCACATGCAACTGAAAATCAGCTGAAGTACCTTAACTTTGGAGCTTTCTTCGTTATAGTGGCAGTTAGGCTTTCATTAATATTACTAGAAGCATTACATGAAAATTTCTCTGCATTTGAAGTTATTTCCTGAACAATATCTCTAAGTTCTTCAATAATCGCTGATCGAACTAATTAATGGTCATAGTTCACTTTATCCTGAAGGTAGCCACGCCACATACAGCTTTTACTGTGATCATTAAAAGTGTGCCACAGAATACAACGAACTGCATCTGCCATTGCCTTACTATTGCCTTTATTCTGAGTTATGACATACATAGAGCATCGATGAAGGTTTCCAATACAACTTCTGTGACTTTTTTCAGTACTGTATAATTATTTTTAACTCCTTCTGAGGCATGAATGACATCAGATTTTTTGATTGTGAGATGAGTACTTACAGCCTGACATGCTGCAATTGTAGAGCTATCATCTCCTATCTACACTCCAACTTCAACGTTGTCAGACTGAAAAATGGCATTATCAACAACAAATCTTTGGCAACATGCGGCTCCAGTGCTTTCACAGATATGTAAAAATTTTTCTGACAGTCATGTTCTGGAGATTTCTCACTTTCACCTCATTTTTTACATTTCCTATTACATGCTGAGCAATCTAAAACTATACCACTTAGATTGCCAATGACTGCTCCGAAACCATTTAAACTGTCATAATTTCATCCCATGCCTCTTGTACTCCATCCCATGTCATATGAAACTAAAATTCTTACTCCATACTAAAATCAGAAGCACAATCCTCGGCATGTTTCATTCTCGATATTCTGGAGGGGTAGTGTAGACTGACCAAGAATTTAAAGTGAACAATACGCCGCCCATCCATAATATCTGGTTGTTCTTCAACATAAGGTGGGGCATTATAATCCACTATTTCTTCAGATGGTATTGAGGTTATAGCAGGCACGGCCTTTTTTTTTTCTTTATAACATTTTCACAAAAATGTCAGAATTTAAACATGAGGTGTTTATACATATATTTTTCAGATTATCATTAACAAAGCAAATATAATTTGCCAGTACACAAATCAAGCTTCCTTGTGGGAAACACCTTGCCGTAGTGCCACTAAACTACAAAGAGATGACACTCTACATCCTCATAAATCGGCATGGCCACACTGCTGTTATTTCTCATGGGAAGGAATTAGAAAATATGACGGACCATCATTAACACCATGTTGGTATGTTGGTAACATGCGTCAGTTAAATTAGTCAACAGGTTCAAAGATTTATCAGAAGGAAAATGGCACAGACACACAGCAATGACAATACTGTCAGCCTAATTGTCCAAATTAAGGAAAAGTATGTGAAAAAAAAGCAGTATTACTTATGTAAATACAGACTCCTGAAGGGCACAGGAATTTGAAATACTACATGTGGAAGAAGTTCCTGTTACATTACCAGTCTTTCTTTGCCTTAGGTGATTACACCCAGTTAAATGCTCTGCCATTTCTCATATATTTCCATCATTTTAACAGTAATATGTGGATCATCACACCCATCTGCAACATTTGAAGCCTCTGTATGGAAAGCAACCTAAGTTTCATAAACCATTAATTATATTTTATTGCTTCAAACAGCAATGCCCCATTCGCACTTTGAATAAAAAGTATACACTTAGTAACCGAAACTGGCACTAATCTGTAGTGTAATTTGATTTAAGTCACCAACTGTCATATCACAAGATAGCACAAAATGCAAATTAAATCCTTCAAGATTTTCAGTCTAGCTGAAATGTACTGCCTATTAGAATGTATAATAAACAAACCCCAGAATTCAATAAAAAGGCTTCTGGGCTTTCAGACAATCTAAACTAATGTATGATTTCTCACTTCCAAACTTCAATGCATCAGCAGAAAACCAGACCTGAATACATGTACAAAAGAAACGTACCATTTACAACAGGATATGGATACAAATGAGCATCAAGTTCAACTTCTCCTTTGGTAGAAATGGTGTCAGAGAGCATACAGTCCAAGGCAAATCTCATGCTGCCTATACATTCGGTTTAAATTCCACTTCAGTTATGGATATTTGTCTGTGTTGTTCTGTAAAGTTATGTGCCTTATGTGAGTATTTTTACTGCCTGTTCCAAGGACTCAGAAAGCCTCATGCTTAGGAGAGGCTAAGGCTCAAACTGGAATGAAGTGCAAAGAAGAGGAAGAAACAGAAGCAATGAAGTCACCTCAGACTCAAAGGATCACAGAGTATCTTCAAATCTGCAGTATAATATGAACTAGATTTTATTAATATACATTTGGTTTAACTATCAAGGAATGTACATACACGAGTGTTATGGTTTCAACACAGCAGGTTAAAAAAAGAAGTTATCTGTATTGTGCATAATAACTGAACAGACAATATTTTGAATGAACAGTGTTCATCAAAAACTTAACTGCATATTTGAGGCACTATTAAGTCAATTAATTACAAACATACTTCAAGCCTATGAGTTCTGGTGGAAAGAGTATACACTGTAACATGATTGTCAATATGATATGTTGTGCCACCTTACACAAGGGAATCATTATTTTTGTTCACATGACTACTGACATTTTGCCAGTAGTCCTGTACTTCTCCATATTAAAATGCTTGTTCCTAAAATGCTGTCAACTGCCAATACAGGGATGTGACAATAAAACTTAGGGCAGCAAAGGGCATGCATAGACAACAGCCCAGTAGACACACATTAGGATTTAACATTAAGCTTTGAAAAGTAAATATAACACAATCATATGTACATCTTAAGGCTGCATGACAACATTCAATCACAGTAAAGTTTTGGGGTATTCAATTAAATAACACGAGTTACTTACTATACTAGTTGATAAAGATGGTGCTGACTGACCCAAGACAGAACTATGCATTCGAACCAAATTGGATATTTCTTCTGGCCCTGAAAAACAATGAAGAACGCAATGACACTGTGTGATCATCTTAGAGCTATTCATAAATCTCTCAGCTGCTCTGGCAAATGCATTTGATGGTCTTCCCATCTAACTAGGCCACAGAGATTTGTACTGCTACTAGTACTGACATACCTGTGACTTAACAAATTACAAATAAAACTTAACCAGATTACAGCCAATGATGATATGCTATATGCTGCTGCTGTCACAAGAATGTTCAAGTCTAGCCTTGATTTCACTGTTGGGCTGGGGAGGGGCAATGAACAGAAATTGGATGACTGTCCAATGAAAGCAGTTCCAGGCATCAACATGTTCCTCAAACAAGAGACTGCAATTTCAAGTTTAAAATTTCCTGTTACCAAAATAGAACTTCTTTGAGTGAATGTAAACATTCTAGATAGGTACCAGGCATGTGTGCACAACAACAGACAGCATTTTTATTATCTCCTGTAATCTGGGTACATTCTTGCTAGGACACAGGCTCACTGAGTCCACTAGCAGTCCACATATCTGAGGCTCAACTAATGGGGTGGCCATCACACACTTCTGCCTGAATGGCTTAATGATTTATTGGAAGCTCTAAGATACTTCAAACCAAAGGCAGGAAATCAATTCCATATTACTCATGTCACTCTAATTATCAAAGCAGGTTTCTTATTTACTTTAAGAACACAGAAGTTAAATTATTTATTCACACAAGTGCAACTGTATTATTACCAATGGCAATAGTGTGTAATACTCGGGATTATTGACTGTTTTGACTTAGTCCATCATCCAGTATGCTAAAGAACACAATGTTTTGGAAACATACCCAGTTTTATAAAGGGTGCACAGGAGGGCAGTTGGTTGAGGCACTATGCTACAAGCAGGATGGTCACAGGTTCAACCCCCAATGAAGTTATTGCACTTTTCAGTTGACCTAATCTTTCCAGCCGCACTATGGCCCAGGGGTCGACTCTGCCCTAACATAAATGAGTCCCAGGAATCTTCCTGGGGGTAAAGGGTGTAGGTGTGTAATGCTGACAACCTCACCGCCATCTGTGGTCTAGAAAATGTGGGAGGCTTGACTTCTCACAACCCTACGGCCTCTTCAGCCTGTTACAGGGATAGCTAAAGTGATCATATTCCAGCAGAACTGATTCAAGTAGGAAGTGAAAAAATTATGTTCTGACATCCACAAACTCATTAATTCTATTTGGAATAAGCAAAAATTGCCTGATCAATGCAAGGAGTCTATTATTGTACCAATTCACAAGATGGGTGATATAATTGACTGTAGTACTATATGGGATATCACTGCTATCAACTTCACACAAAATTTTATCCAACATTCTTCTCTCAAGTTTAAGCCCATATATAGATGAAATTATTGGGGATCATTAGTTTGGGTCTTGATGTAACAAATCAATTACTGATCAAATTATTTGCATTTGTCAGATATGGGAAACAAAATGGGAGTACAATGAGACAGTACATCAACTATTCATAGATTTCAAGAACGCCTATGATTCACTTGGGAGGGAAGTACTGAACAATGTCACAGAGTTTGGGGCAACCATGAAAATAGTCAGGCTGATTAAAACATGTTTACATGAAACCTATAGTAAAGTTCATATAGTTAAACATTTGTCTGATTTCTGTCCTATCCAAAATGGTCTAAAACAAGGAGATGCTTTATCGCCACTGCTTTTCATCACTGCTTTAGATTATGCCATTAGGAAGGTCCAGGAAAACTAGGTGACACTGAAATTAAATGGGACACATCAGTTACTAGTCTATGCTGATGATGTAGATCTATCAGGAGACATCTTAGATATCATAACAAAAAAACATAGAAGCTCTAATTGATGTTAGTAAAGAGGTTAGTATAGAAGTAAACATAGCAAAAGCTAAGTACATGTTGCTGCAGCCCAATTCAAATATTTGGGAATGACAGTAGAAAATCAAAAATTGATTCAGTAGAAAATTAAGAGGAGACTGAATTCAGGTAATGTTTGCTACCATTCAGCCCAGAACCTTTTGTCTTCTCATCTGCCATCAAAAAATGTAAAATTAGAATAGCTGGCTTTGCACTGGTGTGAAACTTGGTCCCTAACATTAAGGGAAGAACAAAGACTGAAGGTGTTCGAAAAATTGGGTTCTGTGGAGAATATCTGGATCAAAGAAGAATAAAGTGACAGGCTGGAGTAAACTGCATAATGAGGAGTTTCATAACGTTTATTCTTCACCAAGTATGATTAGAATGCTCTATTCAAGGAGGCTGAGGTGGGCTGGGCATGTAGCATGTATGAGGGCCAAGGAATGCATACAGGACTTTGATGAGAAAGCCAGATGGAAAGACCGCTAGGAAAGTGTATATGTCAGCGAGATAGTAAAATGGATCTCAGAGAAGCAAGATGGGGTGGTATGGACTGGACTGATTAATTACCTGTATCATACAATAAGGTAAAGCTTGGAACATCATGGCTTATTATTGTCATGGTTCTTTTACCTTTCATATCAACACAGTTTTCTGCTTTACTATGCCACCAACAATAACAAGACCTGTATCCAGATCCAAACATTTCCTTGCAGGATAGCTACCTCATAAAATGACAATAATGACTAAATAACAGTTTCAATATTCTCTGAGATCCTATTTTGGAATCAACCTGCAGATACGAAATGAAAGAAGCCAAATCACACTTTACTTGTGAATCTCACTCAGAATTTATACTGACAGCACAGAAATAATTCCGATGCATGATAGGAATGACGATTCTTGAGACTTCTTCCTTTGCCTACTATTCCTTTCCTTCTGCCTCATTGAACAGTGACTACCAGCCCAACAAGCATGTTGCTAGTCAATGCTATCACATGATTATCACTTCCAATATTTGTGTAAACTGAATGGCAAGATGACTTGAGGGGAATATATAGAAATACACTGGAGGTGGAGGAGTAACAGCTAGTGGAAGATATGGAAGAGGTCAATGCTGGTAATAATTAACTTGACTGCACATTCAAACTTCAATGACATTCAGAAAAGAAAATAGCTAATTGGAGTAATAAATTCTTTAAAGAATGCAGGTCAGGTAGATCAGATGTCAGCAAACTGTGATTTATGGCACCTTATTAGTACAGGCAGTATCAAAGAAAAAATTAAAGTACATCTGTAACCATTTATGCAATTTGTCTTCACCAAACCATGATATTCTGAACTGAAAGCAGCAACCTACTTTCTGTGACAGATTAGGTATCACATCTGCTTACACATGTCATCATTAATTTAACAAAAGATCATGAACTTACCTGGCAATGTACGTGGTCTTGAGGACTTATCTTCAGAGTCAGAGTACCGTCTATGACTAATGTCAGCTTTGGGGTTCATTTTGATTACCATTTTATCGCCACAAACACCGTCTCTCGTAGAATGTGAATGAGTCCGTACGCGGGCCCTACTCGGCCTTCCACCAACACAGCTTATATTCATCCTTTGTATTTCCTTGAGAACTTCGTGTGTAAATATAGTGACATAAATTTATTTCTACCTGGACAACTGGCGTAATCTGGCCTAATTTAGCGCCCCAATCAGGCCAAGCTTAGTTTCAAAATAAGAAACCCGCAATCAAATATCAACCAGCGGAAATTTAATTTGGTAATCCAACATACTCTACCCATTACCCGAACCACAACCGTGTCATTATAAAAACTGCTTTAAATATGCAAAACGAGAACTAGGACCACACTTCACTACTTCAACGTAATCATAAGCTGTAACCTCAAAGCATAGATGGCTGTCCTATCCATCCACACGATCCATAGTAATATTACATGTTAATTGTTGAACGCGTTGGTTTACACTGCCATCTTAAACAGCAGAATTCAACGTCAGAAATCGGTAGCTCGGTTGGCAAAGAGGTTAACCACTATTCCACAAGAGAAATTACACCCATTTCGAATTTAAGAACAACTGCTAAAAATAAAGACTACCGAGTATTTTTTATTATCGTTGGCCCAAAATATGATCAACATCAACACCCAGATTTGGGGAACACATGGAGACGCTAATAGTTGTCAAGATTATCCCAATTCTTTATTGATAGTGTATAGTTATATATATTTCATCCATTTAGAGTGAGAAAAGATTCAGGCGGTCAACAACCTCTAGAGAAGTAGACCCCCTGAGTCTTACCTTCATTAATTTTAATATTCCAGCGCTCACACCAGGTCTCCATTGAGCTGAGACCAAGCTGGAGTTTTATAACAATAAAACCCTCCTTGAAATCTGTCGCATAGACAGGTGTTGTCCACGAAGAGGGTCAGGTGAACACCATGTGTTTGGGAGGCATCATTTATGTACAAATTGAAAAGAGTAGGGGAAAGGACCGAACTTTGTGACACCCCTGCATGCACTGTCCTATGTGTTGACATTTCGCCTTCAACCAAAACCCTGAATTTATCTTGAGAAAGAAAGGACCCAATAAGTTTCGTCAAACTGTTCGAGAATTCAAATGTTGATAACTTATACAGCAAGCCTGAGTGTCACGCGGTACCAAAGGCTTTTTCGACGTCCAAGAACACCGCAGCCATACACATTTTATCGTTGAAATTAAGAGTTACGTGGTCTGCCAGCCTCATACGTTGCAATGTCGTGTTGTGATGCGCTGGCTTGCGTTGTGCAGGCCTCTTTCTACAATATGTTTTTGGAGGAATTTCAAAATTTTTTTTTCGAATAGTTTTCTTGTTGTGGACAGGAGGTTGATCGGACGTAAATTTTGCAGAAATTTTGGGTCTTTACCGGGTTTAGGTAGTTATTACTTTTGCTTCCTACAAAGTATTTAGAAAATGAGGTAGCCGAAGACAATGATTGAACAGATGACTTCACAGTTTTTTTAGTGTTTCACAGTACACATCTGACATTACTGTGTCAATTTCACCACCAGCACTACTTTTGTCTCAGAAAACAGTTGCCATTAGTCTTCCGGCAGGCAAACGTTTGTTTAAACATTCACAAATGAAACCCATGTTTCATCACCTGCAACTCACACGATGTGATTGCGATATTCATAGTCTTCTTTGTGGTATCACTCTAAAAAGGTCAAAGTCGATGCCATTCTCTGTATTTTGTGCTCACCTGTGAGCACATTTGGAACCCATGTTGCACAAAACTTGTGACAGCCTAGCATAAATGTAATAATCTCGTAGAGTACAGTCTGTGAAATTTGTGGAAATTCACACGAAAGTTCTGAAAGTGTAAAGCATCATCTATCACATACTTGTTGGTCATCACTTTGAAAAAGATAATCACTCATTAGAGATGGTTGATCACTTCACACTTCTTCATCAACATTTGTTCACCCACCCAACTTTGAGCATTCTAGATCATTGTCTTATAGTTCCTTCACTTTTGGCCATAAACTACCAAGCATAATTCACAATGGATTTCTGCAGGACTCATGTTTTTAGCATGAAAAAAGTGGATAACAGCGTGAATTCCATGGCTGACGGGATTATCAGTCACAGGACACAACATAACTCAGTCTGTAGAGACAAGAACAAACACCAGATGACCAGTTATGTGACGGTTTACAAGGCAATGAGTCATGTGATGGTACCTCACATTCACAAGCTCTCCTTTACACCTACATTAGTTGCCTAAAATAAATGGAGATTACTTTCTGAATAGCCCTGGTATACATTACAGAAATGGATTTTTCATTTTCAGGACTTCCTGTTGCTCTTGGGCTCTTGAGAAAAAACGTGAAAACAATGGAGATAATACCAGAATAATTTAATATACAAATAATACATATTTATTGCTAAGAAATAAAAAAATTGTAATTGTAAAAATAAGATAAATACCAATTTATAATACTTAATCGTCCTCTCATTTAACTCAGTACATCAGCAAGCAGCTGGTGCAGTGCTGATAAGCATCCTATCTGCACTTTATGTGCATTGTCTAATAACTCCCTTTCTTCCCAAAGCTCCTCCTCCTCCTCCTCCTCTCTGGGTGAAATCTTTCACAATGGGTTAGTCCATTGCTGATCTTCCTCTTGGAAATGTTCCTTGTATTTTCATATTCAAGGCCTGTGGGATTCTCCTTCTGTTCATTCTTAAAACATGCCCATACCATTTTATTCTGCTGTATACTAAATTATTTTCCAATGTATTCATCTGACATTTTCTTTAAATCTTTCTCATCACCTATCTGCTGACCTTTTTCCTTCTGTATTTTCTGACAATCTGATCTTGGCTGCTGTTGATCTACTAGTATCTTTGTCCATGCCCACATTTATGTTCCAGTCACTGAAACTGGAATGCAGAACTTTCCAAATAAACATAGTTCTGTCTTTAGCTCTTCTACAAAGTGCATCAATAATTCACTGGCATATTTTCCTAAATGTTTTATTATTTCTGTAATGTCTTATTGTACTCTTCCATTTGTCACTATATTACTTCCTAAATACTTAAAAATGTCCACTTTCTTTGCCTCATAACTGTCATATTTTATCATTTCTGTAACATTTATTCCAAGTACTTCCCATGCTGTAACAACCCTATGAAATTTTGCTTCTGCCAAGTTCTTTCATTCAGTTCCCAGGCAGGGATGTACGTGGCTCTTCAGAACTACGACAAATCAGTACAAAAGTATGGAGCATGACCAACATACTATAAAGAAAATTATTACAATTTGAGTTTGGGAATTTGTTCATATACCAGTTTTCAAAATAATAGTTGTAACATCTTAAAGTACATGCTCCATATTCTGCTCAGACTTGCAATCATGGTCATTACAGATGATGATCACTCCTTCCTCAGACTTGGCATCATTTTCAATGCATTTCTTCCTCTTGTTGTTGTTCTGTTAGCTCCAGGATCACAAACAAACTGTCATCTACGGTAAATTTTACTCTGAAAAATAAAATTCTTGAGATTCTGTTCCTCACTGGTACTTGATACAGCTAACAGGTACAACAGAATAAAGTAAAATTCTACTTAAACGACCACGTATGTGGTGCATGGAATGTCTTCAGTGACTACCTTATGAAGCTGAAAGGCTGCAGCATATTGCAATGTGACTTTTAGTAAACGATTAAACAGATAAAAAAAATTAGCAGCCCACTGAAGGAATATCAGAAAGGAGTGTCATGTCAAACAAGCATAATAAAAAATTCTTCTATCAATGATTAATTATAGCACCCACTCAAGGGTTGACTGGATTAGAGTATAGCGTAAAATGAAAAGTTGCCCCTGTGCTTAACTAATTAAGCACTACGCCATGAAGGCATATGGGGGAGTGGATGTATAGATATAGTGTACGAGTTTAATATAGGACTTTGAATATATAACTTTAGTATGTAAATATGCTATTGAAATTTAAAGTTGTGCAAGTTGGTTGGTTTTAAAATTCCAGTTATTTTACCGAGTTCTGGGAAAAAATCTTTAACAAATTAAAAAACATGCAGTTAGATGGTGTAAAAACTGACATTAAAATTAAATGAAAATGTTACATTATGTTCTCACCAGTATTTAAAAATTAAATGAAACAGTCAATGAAACTCATTACCAAGAAAAAATATTGAAGGATAATGCACACATACAAGCAGAAGTCTTGTTATATCCATCATGATAATGTAATTATCCCCTTAAAGATGACACTGAAATCAAGAGGACATAATTTAGTGGTGCAGAGCTCATTATCATGCTTAACAATCATATGCATAATGGTTGCATAAAATTGCAGCCTAAGCTATCATTAATACACAACATAAAATTTTGGATTTGATAACAGAAATGCTGTTACATGTACACAGCCTCATTAAATTTAAATAGTGTCAAGGTATAAGTGGTTATTAAGACAGTCCATTAACATAATTATTTATTCTCAAATACTCTAATTCAGTTTAAAAGTTGGAATGGCACATCATAATAATATCACTGAAGTGCATTACATTGCATCCATAAATCCTGTATTAAAACCGTACAATAAAAATATGAAATGAGAATGAACAAAGAAATGCACAAGGTCAACACTGAGAAAGAGACAGAGATGCTTGCGCTTTGCACCTTATACCATCAGATACTGAGATGATAAAAGAAGCAATCCAAAGGGCTCAATGTCTGTTACCATCAGAAAATTAACCAATGTTGAAATAGCCGTTACCATTTTAATTTTGACATTTCTGTTCAAACATAATCCTGCAGGTATACCTATATTCAATTAAATTCCCTCTAGCAGTTATTCACTTTCACTTAAAATAAAACTGAAGAGCTTAGTGAGAATGACAGATTAGTTTTATCAAAACTGAAAGAAATATGACACCAAACGCTATGATCATTTTATAGTCTCAAGTCCAGCATACATTTCACTTGAAGCCACACATTTTTTTTTTCCTTTGGCACTACAGCCCAAATTTTGGCCTTGGCCTACCTCCATGAAACTCTCTGTTTCACTTCAGTTTACTAGATCTTAAGATATTTGGTAGGACTCCTTGGGTGGGTGATCAGCTCATCACAAGGCCTCTACCTGTATACAAACACAGAAAAAAAACACACACACAAACAAACAATAAACATCTATGCTCTGAGTGGGATTTGAACCCACGATCCCGGTTTCCGAGCGAGCGAACACAGTGCATGCCTTAGACTGCTCAGCTACCATGACCACCAGCCATACATCTGATAATTAAATTCAAATGTGACATGTCAAACCTTTTGATTTCTGGAGGTTTTGCTATTATAGTAATAATTATATTATACCAGCTGTAATATCTCTAATGAATGTATTATTGGTATTAGTGGAGAAGGAAGGTTCATGTTATTGGATG